CCGGGTGATTCATGCTTAGGCAAGGTTGGTTCATCAATGGCGCTTGAGTCTCCAAGGTGTCTCAAAACCCGCGTCGCCCCATAAGACAAGCTTTGTCCTGAACTATGCACACAATGCATAGCTTCGCCGGTCATACTGTGTCCCAAGTGTTTTGACCGACCCATCGGTCAATTCATCATAAGTGAAGGATGCTTTCCCTCACTTCTTTTCAGACCAAGGTCGCTTTGTCATTCCACGGTATAGCGATTTTGCTCAAATGGTTCTTCTTTTCGCGACTCGGGCGGTTGTGAGGTGACACTACAAAGACCCCGAATGCTCCTTAGCGACAAAACACTCCATCGTTACAAGTACGCAACAACTACTCCGAAGAAAACATGTTTGAAGGACCTTCACAGGCAACATCCCGGAGGTTTGGACAACGGAGAGGTAACTGCGACACGCACGTTGCTGCAGGGCAGCTGGCCCTGCAGCTCCGACAACAGCGGCATCTGGACGACCGGGTCACCGCCAAGCTGGCCTCAAAGCTGGACAGCAGCGCACTGGCGCCGGCCATCGCGCCCCTGCCACGGCAGCGGCCCTAACCACCACGGACGGACAGTGGCCGCGCACGGAAGCAGCATCGCAGAGCTCGCTGCCCACGGGTCTCTCCAACGAGGCAGACCAGTCGGCCTTCAACGTGCTGGAGGGCGTGTGGCCGAAGCACCCCGGACGGCGTGGATCTAAAGCTCCTATAGCACCACGGCGGCCATGAACAGCTTCATCGCCTCTCGGCCAACAACGCCACGCTGGCCACGGGGCGTTCCAAGACATAGCGGCGGCGAGGGTCACGCCGCTGGAGATCGACACCAAGTGGCCAACGCTCTTCTGGGCGTCGTACCGCCGCAGCGCTGGCCTCCGAGCTTGCTGCAGGCTGCGGAGGCGGCCAGCAGTTTCATTCGCGTGAAACCAGCGTTCGCGCAGCTGAGGCCTCTTGCCACGCTTGTTGTTCAGACGAGACGAGGCTTCATGTCCGCAGGGGAAGACGCTCATGTGCGGTCACGGTGGCGCTGACACGCAGCAAGCGGCTCATGCGCCCAGACCCTTGCCAGTTGGCCACACGGCAGGTCCGGTTCAGGGCAAACCTGGATGGAGAAGATTGCTTTTGACCGGCTGGTTTGGGACGACTGGCCATTTGTTGCCAGTGCGGGTCCTCTCCACCAGAAGCGCACTTGGTCCTTGTGCGAAACTCGCGCAGTTGGCAGGTACAGGCGGATGACCTTGTAACGATCAAATCGGAAAGGTCTTTGTCTTGCAGCGGAAGTGCAGCGTCACCCACGCCTCCCCATTGCTGTCTGCCGGTGTTTCTTCAACGAGTGGACTGCTCCCGGTATTCGCTTAACTCGGTTGAAATGCCGTGGCGGGGACTAAGTTTCGGACTTCGTTCGTCCTGACTTTGCTCCGGACGTGAAATCTTACGGCGTTCGGATTTGAGGCGGCACTACCTGGAGGGACGGATGCTGCCACGCGCCGACTCGACTGGCCTATGGCGTTGATTTTACCAGGTCAGTATGGCAAATTCAAGACTTCACAAAGGGCATTTGGAGGAGTTGCTGATGGCGTTGCTGCTTGGGACCTCAGAGATCCTGTCTTTTGGCCGTCACTTGACTGTAGCCTTGGCTCAAGCTCGCGATCAGGCCCGCTCGGGTCCTCGAGTTTCTGCACTGTGTGCTCTGGGGCTGGTTGTAGTCGAAGTTCCCAAGAGGCCGCAGGGTGGACGTGAGAGTTGCAGTGCTGCCCAGCGCCTTGTCCCACTCGTCAGCAGTTCATTGTTCACCCCCAGGTCCTTCTCGATGTACTTCTTTGAGAATCCCAGGACGGGAATCAATGCCAAGCCGCAACGGACCGACGCTTATGCGCATAGGGATCGTGGCGTTCTTGATCTTGGACTGCTTGCTGCTTGGGTTTCTAGGCAGCTCCCATTGCTCGCGGATGCAGTCGCTGCGAGTACTCCACACTGTCCTTGCCGCTGGCAGGGACGTGCTTGCTGGACTGGTCCGGATGCCGAGAAGTGGTCGCTGCTGTGGGTGGACATTCAGGACGCGGGCCTCTCTGAGGTGCGTTGCACATGGGCTATTGTCTTTGTAGCGGAAATGTTGGCCGTTGCAGCCCCCGGCAAGAACCTGGTACTGGTTGACCATGACAGTGCACCGCTCACGCTTTTCGAGGTCTTACGCATTGACAGATCGGCCCAGGGCGAGCCGTCCACAGTTGGGTTGATTCTTTTCCCTGAAGTCCGATGGGAGGTTAATGCAAGTGTTTGGCGGACAAGCAGCCACGAAGAAGTGCTGCGCCGGGAGCCGCTGCAGGTTCCTGGTCGGCAGAGGAGAGCCTTTTTGCTGCCTGGCAGAGCAGTAGACAGGCCTTTCTGGACAGCCGCTCGCAGGACTCAGCAGGTCACCAGCGTGACAGGAACCCTGCAGCGCAACTAAGGAGGACCTTTGCCAACACACCTCTTGCGCCCTGTGGACTTCTTGCATGCTTGGGCGAGATTACCGGAGAGTGGCTCAATCATACGATGTTTCAACCGCCCATTTATGGTGATTGGCCTGCGCATGCGGATGGGTCGCTTTTGGATCCCGAGCAGCGGAGCCGTGTGCCGCGACTTACCCGCTTCATTGGATTTGCTGGAAGCCAACCCGCCAGATTAACGACAAACCTGAGGACATGGCAGCTGTGATGCAGCAGCCCATTTTGCAGTTCAGGGCTTGCGCTGGGGTCAGCTGGAACACCAGCAAGCTTCTTGTCCTAACCAACCGTGGCGACATCAGCTCATGTTTGCAGCGCCAGTTCCGCAAACAGAGCATGGCGGACGTCCTGGCCGCCATGGGTACCCCCGAGGTCGGCAGGAGCTGTGCACACATGATACAGGTGGAAACTGGCGTGAGGGCCTTGGGGGCGACTGCCCATGCCTGTGTCTGGCAGCAGTCAGCGGTGGGCTTCATGTTAAATGGTGAGGAAGCGGATGCACGTGCCACGGTGGTCCTGACCCGCTCCACTACGGGGGTCTTGATGATCTCCCCCCGGACATGAAGGGCATTCCGGGGATGGCCCAAGTGCTTGCAGCCAAGGAACGACGGCTGCAGCCCACCTACTACGAGACGCCGGATTGCGCCTGGTGATACAGCGCCTTACGGCCTTGAAGTGCAGCGAACATGGGTCGGAGCCTGCGCGAGTTGGAGACAGCCATGTTGGCGGAAAGACGCCTGCGCGCTGCTGGAGACTTTTGAAAGCGGGCGCTGTTGTCGGAGTTTCCTGTCCAACTTGCCTTTGTTCCGGCACGAAGCGCGGTCTCTGTCGGCAGCAGCAGACGCATGGCGCGCGGGACCGACATGCCTGCAGTCTTCTATGTAGATGTTGTGCACGCTCTAGTTAGCAGCATCTTGCACAAGGAGTTGCACGTGCGGCTGAACGCCCGCTGGAAACACTCGCGACAGATATTGGACGGCCGCCACGGCCGACGTAGGCCAGGGAAAGTCGCCCGCCATGCAGCCGTTGTTTGACGCGATGGAGCGCGTCTTGCGCCGCAACCCTTTGTTTGCCGTTGGAGCTGCAAACGATAACTTCCATTTCCAACAGGCCAGCGCCACTGCGTCTGCTGTGCTAAAGCTGCGGCAGTGCAACGGCTACTTGACGATGTTCAACGACGAAAGCGGGCTGTGCTTATCGCCAGCGCTGGCAAACGGTGGCTGTACTGACGCTGCAAAGCACGTGGACTTGCCCTTGTTTCTCAACGCTGCGCACGGCGGTCTCTTTTCTTGGAGCAACCGTCCAGACCGTGAGCGTGCTCTAAAGGCTGCAGCAGCCCCACCATGTCGAGGCTGTGCCCGAGGCAGTAAGCTTGACGTTGGCGCACACTAACGTCCACTTTGTCTTGATCGGTCAAGAGGATGTGTTTGCCAAGTTTTGGGCGCAGCTGGCCCACGCAAAGCAGATAGGGTTGGCGCAACGCTTCCTCTTGTCTTTTGGAGTGCGCCAATGCACAGCGTGTACCAAGTGGAACGCTTTCTTTCAGAGCGTGACTTGCCAATTCTCGAGCAGCTCTTCACTATCGTCTTGCACCGTGTGGGCCCGCGCACACCGGCGCCGCCGGAAAATCTTGAGCTCACAGCGCAGCAGGAGGAAGAGGTTGACAACTTAGGGCATATGGCACCCATATGGCACGCATGTCACGCGCATGTTGCACGCATATGGCCCGGTGAGCGCAGTTCCCAATGTTTCTTAGTTCAAGTTAAATTTAACCTGTAACCAACCCCGAACAAACCCTAGACCTCCGTCACAAGTAAGATGGTATGATGATCAGAAGTGTCGCGAGAGGGGGGGATCATGTCACATTTTTTGGTATGTGTTCGAGCTGGGTTGCTGCAAGATCTGAAAGGGGCGATGTGCATCATCGATGGGGCTGCAATGCTGGAAGATGGATTTGTTCAGTCCAACATGAGCTCAAAACTGTGCAGCTTCAGCGGGCAGATGAGGCCTGCCGCAATCCTGGAAGATGGAATTCCGACTTACATTTCCCTTGAAAACGTCACCACCCTTGAGCTGCCTCATTTCGACAGCCCGACATTTTGTCTGCCTAGGGCTTGGGTCTTTGTTTTCACCTTTTTTAGGGGTTATTCAGAAACTGGGGTGGTTTCCCCTTGAGCTTTCACTTTGGGAGTGACACGATGTTGCTTTTTTGCTTGCCATTTGCCTGGACGATGTGAAACCTTGGCGTGGCTCGAGTTTCACCAAGCTGGGTGGACAAACTGTGAGCGGGCACAAAAAAAGGCCCCAACCATTTGGCCCCAACGGATACCAACAACCTGGATTTTTCATGTAGGTTTCCCGGCACAAGTCAGAGTTGCCCCCTTCCTTTTCCGAGAAACGATCCTGATGACCAGCTAGCTTTGGTTACAAAATCGGGGGTCCACACGCACGCACAAAACTCTTGCATGCCGGGCATTTCTTAGTAGATTTCTGACAAAAAATTGGACTGTTTTGGGGCCCAGCATGGCGCTTCCAGAGCTGGAAGTCCGCAGTGCAGATAGCGGTGCCCAGGCGGGTTTGCACCTGTCCCAACCCACACCTGGTGGTCTTCGACTCTTCCGAAAGCCGGCAGGCAACGGCGGATGGGTCGACGGCAGGCCCGTTGCACCGTGCTTTTCTCTAAAGTAGGGCTCCAGCTCCGGCTTTTCCTCCTTCGTGCTAAACGAAGTGAGTCTCTTGTTCAAGCCAGAGATATTTGGGGGTTCCACATTTTGGGGTTGTTTTTTTGCCAGGGTTTCAAGAGAAACGAAAAGGGGGAGGTCCAAAAAAAACAGAAGCTCGCTTTGGCCTGCAGGAGCCCACGTTTTGTTGTTCTTCTTCTTTTTTAAGGATTGCACAAAGATCTTCTTGGCCCTGTGCTGCGGTTCAAAGGGATGCTGAAAACGACACGTGCAGCCTGTGGCAGGCGATGGCATGGCAGCAGTCGCTGCTGAGGAGTACGAGGCTGGCAGCTCGTCGCGCGAAGTTCGCAGCGCGTCGGCTTCGCGAGGCCTGGCCGTGGCCGGTTGACGTCTTTTCTTCAAGGACCTTGGCCTGGCCGGTTTCCTGCTGGTGCTGTATTTTACAAGCCTTTTTGGTGTGGTTTCAAGCAGGAAACTCAGCATGGACCTTCTTTTCCAGCAAGCAAGCCTCACTTTTGATTGTTTATATCTTCCCTCGAAGATGGGAAGCGATGTATGAAGGCCTTCGCAAACAGCTTCTGCTGCTTGCACATGACAACCACGTGGCACTCACAATGAACCTATTTAAGTGAGTATTCCGCCTTCTTCAGATATTCACTGATTATAAGAAATGATGTCAACTCCTGGCCCAAAATGGAGGTACGGTATGTGGCATGGAAGAGTCCCTACCTACGGCAAACATAGCGAATTTCGAAATCCTGGGGTCTGCCTATTTTTGGGCGAAGGGGTAAGACAAGCTCGCCATGAAGGCTACTTGGGAATCTTTTAGGTTTAGCTACATTGCCTGGCCATGGTGGCTCAAACATTTGAATGAGGTCACCTTATTTCGGGGTGACGCTTCTCCAGTATGCATTTCTAGGTGCTTGAATTTTTGATCATTTATTCTTCCTCGTTTTTGTCCTATCTCCCAACTTTTCTCGTCCTTTCTCGTTGTTGCCCGTTTTCCCTTGTGGGTGTGTGTTTTTTGGGGACCCCCCAAAATGGTCGGTGTCCTTTCTGGTCTCTTTTTAGAGCCTACCCAAAAGGGCACCCCCAAAAACAGACGAGCCACCCATGTTTTTCCTTTCCATTTCGGCCGAAGCATGTGGCTTCGCTTCGGCCAAGTCCTTTCGACGGCCTTCAAGGCCATTGCTAAGCGGCTGCAGAGGGACGAGGAGCTGATCAAGCAGCTGAAGCACATCGTGAAGGCCGGCTTCAAGTTGGGGGATGGCCTACCCGGCATAGCCAAAGGAGGGAATAAACCGCCTCAACCCTTTACCTAGGGGGTTAGGACTTTAGGACCCCTCCGGAGGCTTCAGGCTACCTCTACGGCACCATAGGTCGGAACCGCAGATGTCTTTGGTGACAGATTTCCCAAAGGTGTGAGCAATCAGAGGGGTTTTTGGAGGTTCAAAAGGAGAGTTGGTGCTGTGACTTTGGGACCAAACACTCGGACGTTTTTTTGTTTTGCAAAGGAGTGGTCAAAAAGAAAGGGCCTGATTCAAGTTGGGCAGCTGCGCTTTCGCAAAAACCGAGTTGTGCCCGGCTTGGGGGGGGGGTGGCTCCCAGAAAGGTGATTGATCCTAGAGATCAGATGGGGCGGTTTGGATGTTTCTGGACTGACTCTTTTGAAACCTTTCAGAGAAAAAATCGCAGGGCGCTGGAAATGGTCCCCTTTTGGGGTTGATGGGGTTGGCAGGATTCCCTGAAAGGAATTTTGCCTTTCACATTCTTTTTGACGTCACCCTTTACGTTGGCTCTCTTGAAAGGGAAAGCAACCTAGTTCAAGTCCAGTGTAGATGCTGAAAGGCTGCTCTTTTGGCGCTGGGAACGGGGAACCTGAGACCTGCCACGGCTTTCCAGCTTTCATCAAGGAACACCGAAGTCCTTTTGCCGAACCCTTGCTTGTGGCGGTGAGCCGCCATGGACGTTCCTCCCGTGAACTGCTGAAAACATGTCCCAACTGCTTCCTTCGGGCATGGTCTTCGTTGCTTCTCTCCAGTCGCAACCAAAAGCGCCCGGAAGCGTGCGCCATTTTTTTCGCAACCACCTGCCCAAGGTCTCTTTCGTCAAATTCCTTGGTTTGGCTCAGATCTTGGGGAAACTATAGACCTATGAATTGGTGCGACGGAAGCAACCCGACAAAGGTTTCGGACACAGGTGAGATCAAACCTTTAGGCCTGTGAGGCACATCTTGGCACTGGCGGTTTCGTGTGTGGAGTTCCTTTCACCGATCACCAGGACACAAAAAAACTCCTTTCCGCCCCTCGGGCGCATCGCGGCAATTGGCCAAATGGCCATGGGTCATAACCTATGCCTCCATTTTGGGGCGGAGGAATACCCACCATGTACCACCTACTTTGATGTTCACCATACAGGGTTTTGACCCACAAATCTGAGGCCCAGCACGGCAAGATCGAGGAGTTCCGGGAGATGCTGGAGGTTACCAGCTCCAAAAGCGCCTCGGGGGGGTTTTTGGTCTCAAAGACCCATATTTTTGGGACAACAGCAAACCTGCGGCCCGTGTTTTTAGAAACACCCGTTCCGGAAAAAAAGGAAGAGAAAAACAAAAACAAAAAACGGTGGTTGAGCAAGGGGTGTGGGGGGGACTGCGGCTCGCTATCTTCGGAGAACCTCCGAATTTGCTGCCGTTTTTTTTCCTTCTTCCGCCAAGAGCTGCGCGTGCCTCGAGGTGCCTTGATCTCCTCCTACGAAGCGGAGGACTTCAAAAAGGCGTGGCGCCACGTGGGCGGGGGGGGGGGATGGGGGAGGGGCTGGCCGGTGTGGTGTGTGTGTGTGTGGCTTTTCCTTCCGGGTTTCCTTACAAATCTACCCCAAACAGGGTACCATCACAAAGAAAGGAACAAACAACCACGCACACACACAACAGAGAGACACACATTTTTCCCCAACAGCTGAAAGCTTTGGGGTCTCAGCCCAGATACCCTGAGTTAAGGTTTGACGAGGGTTTCACGAGGGTCACGAGGGTTGCCCCGAGGGTTCCACCAGGGTTTTACCAGGGTTCCACGAGGGTTCCACGAGGGTTCCACGAGGGTTCCACGAGGTTCTGCGAGGGCTGCGGGGTGGAGCGAGCACTAAAAAGAGGACTGCATGCTGTTGGGGGTATCACCTGAGCTTATTTTTTTTTGCCCTGGAAGCACAACTTCGAGTCAGCAGGTGCTTGGCTCCCCTCCGGCTTCTTTAAAAAGAAGCACCGTACACATGGCCCACGTTCCAGGCTGCCCATGGAGCATAGCCCCCTGCAATTCTCAGGCCGTGGAGAGCAACCAGGAGCTGCACCAGCAAATCCACAGGCTCCAGGCGTGCAAAAACTTCACCGAAGGAGGGAGGTCCATGGTGTCTGATTTTTGCGGTCTTCGGCTTTGAAAGCTTCTGGCTTTCTGGTCATTTTCGGTTCTTGCTTTGGTCTGTGCAACTCTTCTCCGCTTCTTCTTTCCAATATTGTCAAAATAATTTCACCCAACTCATTGAACAAGTAGGGTTTTGCCGGCAGCAACGCAGTTTAACAGGGTCTTGGAAAGCTTGTGGGTCCCCTGCCCCTGCCCACTAACGGTGGACTTTCGCACTGCGCACTTAGTTCCGACGTCTTGCTGTGCGCACCACCCAACGTGTTGTTGGCATGGGGTCGTGTTTGGGGCAGGGTCCAAGGTTGAGGTTCCCTTCCCTTTCTTTTGGTTTTTTCCCTCTCTCACGAAGGCCGAGCTGGCCAAGTACAAAGCGGAGAACAGTTCGCTGAAGAAGGCCGGCGGCCGGGAGTTCTTTCGGGAGAGTTCTGCTTTTTGGGGTTGATGTAAGGGGAAAACATCAGGTTTACCACAACTTAGGGTTCCTTTTTTGGAGGATTGTATTTTTCGGTTGAAAGGGAAAGCACAGGGACTACCACCACTTAAGGGCTCTTGTTTTGAAGAGTACCATGTTTGTGACAGCTCTCACTTTGATTTGGCGGATGGGACCCCCTCATTTGTGAGCCGGCGAGCCAGAAAGTCACCAACTCCCAGAATGTGATGTCTCGAAGGGGCTCAAATGGAGGTTTCTTCTCGTCACAGAATTTGCTATATAGTAGGCATTGTAGAAGTACTTTATTATGCTATCGCATTTCGTCATAGTATTGTATTGTCTAATACTTGACAGTATCATACTAGATATGTGATACAGCACTATGAATGGACTCGCAACATGTATGCCCTCCCGTTTTTGTTTTTTTTCCTAGGCTGATCGTGAGGTGAACCGCCGCCTCAAGGGCTTGCTGCACAGCGACTCCTCCGGGCGCGCCGCGCTTCAGTGATTCAGGGGAAGGAGGAAGGAGGAAGGAGGTACTTTGGATGGACGCAACCAGTTCGGATTGATGAAATCCCGTGACATGAATGCTGGGATACACCGCCTATCAACTGGAGCAGGAGTTTGTCTTAGGCTTGATTTGCAACCTTGTTCTTTGCGATATTGAGTTCGCGGAGTTTGGGTCTGCGATCTCAAAGCACCCATGGCACACATACTTGCCTCAACAATTAATGGGAAACGAACCAAACCGCCACCAAAGGGACCCCACTTGAAATTCAGATCCAAAGGGGTAAATGGGTGTCTTGTTTTGTTGGCAGCCTTTTCGGGGTTGATTCAAATGGGAATGGGCTTCCGTATGTTCAGACCTCCTAATTTGGCAGCCGAACCCAAGGGTGTCAACTAAACGACTGAGAACAATGGCGGGTTGGTTGGTTGGTTGGTTGGTTGGTTGGTTGGTTGGTTGGTTGGTTGGTTGGTTGGTTGGTTGGCTGGCTGGCTGGCTGGCTGGCTGGCTGGTTGGTTGGTTGGTTGGTTGGTTGAGATGTCAACTCCCAGCAAGATGTGGGGTGTGGGTGTGTCCTTTTTTTTGGGGGGTGTCCTTTTGGAGGAAGCCATCAATTGCTCCTCTTGGAAGACAAACCCGTGGCACTTTTCGTTTGCACCAAAGTGGACACCAAAAGGGCGAGAAAAGAGGCACGCCCGGACGGAGGCACGGTGCCCCGAAAAATTCCAAGGAACGGCCGTGCCGAGTAAGAAAGCACGGGGCAAGGTTGGGACATTTGGCTGTGGGTCAAAACCAATGGTACCATTTTGGTGGGTAGGTGCACCACCCATTTTAGTCTGTTTTAGTGGGGATTCGGATGTTCACTGGGGATACGGGATTTTGACCCATGGCCATTTTGCAAACGAAGAATCAAAAGGGTCTGACACAGGCCCCGTCGGGAAGACAAGCCCAGCACTCTTGGGGGTTTCTGACAGACCTGACGTGTTTTTGCTCCTCGGCGTGGCGCAGGTGGCAGATGTCCACGCAGAGTGATATGCCGAAGCTGGCCTGCATTTATCCAAAGATCCGCCGCTGCCGCTTTGATGTTTCCTTCGCCTCGTGCAATTGCCTGACCGGCTTTTGGTCGGTTTCAGCTGCTCGTTTGAGACCGGTCGGTTTCAGCTGTTTGTGTCTTTTTCCGGTTGTTTTCGCGAAGCAGTTGAAACCACCCAGCAGATACCGGCATAATCTTTATGCGCGTCGCGCCTTGAGAAGCGCATGCTGACTCGCTAAGTCCTCCGCCCAGCGAGTGCCTGCGCCGGGCTCAGCGGATTCGGTTTGGGCGCCGTTGACGAGCGGGCCCAAGAAGGCTGAAAGCGGAAGAGGTGGATGTTTTTTTTCTTCATTTTTTTCTCCATGACTTTCGGGTTGTGTTGGGAGGGTCCTGCGTGGGGCCAGACACCCGCGCGGTTTTAAAAATAATAAGACGGAATCCAGTTCTGGGGCTCGCTTTGGGGCGAGAGATCGGCCGAATGCCCCTTGGCCCCTTATTGGCCCAAGAGCGTCCCTTAGGCCAAGCTCTTGGCTCGGGCCAAAAGGAAGGCCCCGAAGTTTTGGACGGTTCACCTCTCTCTTCTAATGGAACCTTGCCAGGAGCGGGAGGCAAAAAGCTTGTGCATAACTCGCGCATACTTGGTAGGCCGAAAAGGGGTCATGGTTTAGCAGCACACTGGGGCCTGAGAACAATCGTGCTTCAGCCGCGAATTCCAGCGACCTTGTGGCGACTCAGGTTTTTTTGGGCCGAGTTGGTGTCCGTTGGTGTCCTGTCGGGTTGCGTTCCTTTGATTCATGCCCACATATCATATTTTGAGAAGGTGGGCTGGTAGGGCCCGTGGCATTTGGAGCCCTTGGAAGGGGCTCCTGACAACCATCATGGGGGAATCCGCCAATCGCATCTACTCAGTGAGTCTAAATGGAGGCCTGGATATCACGGGCTAGCGGTTTGAGTCATGTTTCTCCAAATACTCCCCTAAAATCGTTGACGTTGTTTTCCCTTTCGCGAAAGGGAGTCCGACTCCCGTTTGGGTTCGGTTTCCAGTTTCTTGGGCCACTTTGAGCAACTCCCATTTGACTCCGGAGCTTTGGGATTTGTTTAGGCCGGAGGTCCCGGCCTTGGCGTCCACGGCGCCGGAACGGAGCTGGTCCAAGGGCCCGCTGAGCGTGTGCCCTGGCGCGCGCTGGTGGGCGCGCTGGGCTCGTGGGCCTTGGGGCAGTTCAGGTTCCCGTAGGTGCGAGAGATGCAGGGAATGAGAGACGGAATCACCCCGAGCTATACGGGAATCCCGAGGCACTCCCTCAGCACCAGCAAGCAAAAAAGATACATTCGGACCACGATGACAGTAGTTCAGGCTGGACCTCAAGGCAGCATCGCGGGAAAAGAAGGATACATTCGGGATCCTCTTGGAAAGCAGGCGGTTTTTGGATGGATTTAGGAAACCCTGGTCGGCACTGAAGACAATTGTTGCAGTCTGCACATGTACCAAACTATTGGGGAATGGCCGACACTCCACGTCAGATGGGCACGCAATGAAATATTGACCTTGGCTCATGCACGTTCTTTTGAGTTTGCAAAGGAGGGCATCCAAAGAAACATCACTTTTGAGCTTCCCGCATTCGAGAACCCATTTGGACGTGTTGCTTTTAAGTCGGTAGGTCTTGGTTCGGGAGTCAAAGTGAAGCGGTCCAGCCGTTGAAACCTGAAGCGAGGCCCCTGAAGCCAGTTTTCCCTTTGAACGGCACCCTTCGAGTTTTTCCTTCGGCACCCTTCGGGTTTTTCCTTTTTGTGTTTGCGCGCTTTCGCATGTATGTGTTCATGTATGTGTGTGTATATATATATATATACACGTGTGGGTTTGCATGTTAAATGTAGTCACGAGCAAAATGCAACGTCTTTTCTGATGCTAGCCACTTGTTGGACCCCCCCAAAAACCCTGGTGGTTGTTCACAGTTGGCAATTCTGCCCTTGTGAGAACGTCAGAAGCAGGCTTCGGCCCATCAGTTTCGGGGATCCATTTGTTCAATAAGCACAGGAGCTGTCAGTTTGCCAGCAAAGTGGTCCTCCGTCTTGCACAGGCACGCACGCACACACACACACACACAGGTTAAAGGTGAAAAGAGCAAACCACTGCGAATAAAACGGTTGTCTTCAATACTGTTCAAGTACTCAAAGCCTCATACAACCTTACGTAGTGCTCCAAGGGGGCCCTAGATTTTCCAAAGGCCAGGGAGCCAAGTCCAACAGACCCTTGGCAAACCCCAAGCGCAAGCGAAGCCAACTCCCATGGGGCGGTCCAGGTGTGCCGGTCTCTCCGAGGAACTCCGGCCGGACCGAGTTGCTGGGCCGGCTGCCCCTCGGCTCTCTGACCTGCAGAGGCGATCGCGGCACCGGACTCGAAGACTCGAAGACTCGAAGTCGTGTCTTCGGTAGAAATGTCCAAAGAGAGGGAGGGCGACCTCAGGATGAAGTCCGATTTGTTTTGCTTCAGTGTGGGGCTATGTCTTGAAGGGCAGTAAATCCTGAACTCACGCACTCCACTGAAGCCGCGGCGAGAATTTCCTTCTGAAGCTTCCGAAATTCCCAAGCTGGCTTGGGAATGGTTCCAAGATGCTTGGCCCTCTAGGCTTAATGTCACACATTTCAGTTGTTGCTTCAGTTTTAGAGGGTTTGCACAGAACAAACATTTGTTTTCTGACGTACCAAGTGTTGGGAAGTTGAATTGCCAAGGGAGGGGCATACTGGATGGCACGAATTTCCCTTGAAGTCCAAGCTGGGTGAAGGAAACTCCGTGGGAACACTCGTGATGTCGAGCTGGGATTTCTACTCCTTCTGCGTTGTCACTGTTATATTTGAGGGAAACTTTTGAATGACAATGCGGACACGGAACGCGAAAACCGACACTTTTCTGGACCCCCAGGTGTTCGCAGCTACTCTTCGATGCTTTTTCCAATGCAGCTGTCGCAGCAGCTTCGCTCGGTGAACGTGTCTTTTTTCTTTTTCGGAAGGCTATGATTCGGTGGGTGACGCTGCCGGCTTTGTAAGGTTTTCGAGGAGTTCCTGCTCTCCTTTGGGCCCCACGCGTTTTTTTTGGGTTCTCATCAGAAAAATGGGAATACTTAAGTTTCCTGGCCTCGGACACATGGCAAGATTTTGCTTTTTGTCCGGAGTCAAATCAAAAATCAGGCAGGGTCCCAATGCATGTTTTGGGCGGTCTGGGATTTGATCTGCTTTCCAGGAATTCGAGAGCCCCTTGATAAACACCTTGGGCGGAAAGAGGCAGCTGAGCGGTTGAGATATTTCCTTTCCATTGGACTCCATGGGTTTGGAACCCTGCAGATTTTCTAGCCGTGAACAAGACACGTCTCCGACTTGGGACTTTGCAACTGCGCAGGACACTTCAACCGTGGAAGACTGGACTTTGCTGGGGCCCCAGCGGAAAGCAGAAGTCGACGGCACCAAAGATGCACCAAGTCGAGCAAGCCGGACGGGGTGAATTCCAGAGATCCTTGATTTGAACCCTCCACATGTTTTGGTGCCCATTTGCGGAAACAACGCCTGAGTATCATTTGGGACAGATGGTGCCACCTCATAAAGGTTGGTTTGCGACCTCAGATCCTCTGGTCGTCCCCCTTCCTTGGGCTGGGCACCTTGATCCACAGACGCACTAGTGACATTCTCAATATTCACAGGTATAGACTGTCAGGAAATTCCACCAAGTCCAACAAGATTCTGTGAAAGGCTTCACATGTCACCTGCGAACAAAGCATTTGAGCTTTTTAAAAAAGAACCTCCCACGCCTCAACCGAGGTTTCGTGTTTGCGGTTGCTCGCATGGCTTTGTGCTTGGCGCAGTTGACATGGCGAGTTTTCGGGGCAAAAGCCGGGCTTAGGTCGTGGGGTAAACCGACAAAAAGAGGCCCTTTCTATGCGTCCAAAAGACTTTTCTGGGCACCCACCGCTTTATGGGCGCGCCAAAGAGCAATCGACGTGAGCGCGGATCGATCGATGAATCCGTTCGAGGACGACCGGGATCGGTCATCCTCCAGAAGCCCGCCCAGGAGGCATTCCCAGTACCTGGGTTCGGCACCTGAGAGCATCCACTACCCTTGGTTTTGGGCGGATTCATATTGCCTGCTTTTTTTTTCTTTCTCCGGACTCTTTTTCCTAGAAGCAGTCACTGTTAATGTCGCAATTGATGTTACTGGTACTGTTGGTGTTGCTGTTTTTTTTTTTTGTTTTTTTGTGGTTGTTTGTTGTGGTTGTTTGTTGTGTTTGTTGTTGTTGTTGTGGTTGTTTGTTGTGGTTGTTTGTTGTGTTTGTTGTTGTTGTTGTTGTTGTTGTTGTTGTTGTTGTTGTTGTTGTTGTTGTTGTTGTTGTTGTTGTTGTTGTTGTTGTTGTTGTTGTTGTTGTTGTTGTTGTTGTTGTTGTTGTTGTTGT